GGTGTAAATGGGATGGGGTGTGCGATGGGGTGTGTCTGCAAAAGGAGAGAATTTTCAATGGGGTGTGGCTGGATATCAGATGGGGTAGGGTTTGATTTCAAATGGGGTGTGGCTGAAAGGGAAGGGGGTTTTCGGTGGGTGGTTAAGGAATGAGGTTTATGAGGGCAATTTAGGGAAAAAAAAAGGGGTTTAATGAGTAATTTGAAATTTTATTAAAATTTAGTGGGGTGTAAAAAATTGGGAGTTTCACTAAAACACCCAAAATGGAGGTTGAAATTATAAAAAAACCCAACAAGCACTATTTAAACATATAAACACACCCAAAACCCATCATTACACACACTCAAAACTCATTTATAAACACACCCAAAAAGTTGACTTTGGGGTTGATTTTGGGTGTGTTTCTATGTTTAAATAGTGCTTGGGTTTTTTTATAAATACATGTCTAGGATTGGGTTTATTTATAAATTTGTATAAAAAATTATGGGGTGTAAAGAGTAATTTATGGGGTTCATATAGAATTACCCTAATAATAATTGTTCAAGCTGGCAGCTAATAATTAAGTTGGCATCTTTTTTCTTTTTTTTTTTTTGGGTCCGGCCAATAAAATTATTTTGGGCCCAAAAATGAAGTGAAGGACCAAATGTAAATACAGAATTGGAATGTGCTTTTGGGCTTTTAAGTGATAGAGGTAGATCACAATATTGAAGTAGCCCAAACTGTTGATTTTGGGCGAGTGAACCGGTTCCAAAACCATGGCCGATCCTCTCTGTCTTCTTTGCTTTAGCAACTTATGCCTTGCTTGCTTTGGTGAGTAAGCCTAACTGAGGCAAAGCGGCAGCCAAGAGCAGCATCATTCAGATTCAGAAGAAGTGGCAAGTAATTAAGTAAGCCTCAGCCTCACAAACAAATATCAAAGCGAAGCAATCGAATTTGACAAAGAGAGAGAGAAACAGTGAGAGATCGCGAAATGGCGTTGCAGTGGATGATACTGACGTACGTGGTGGCAGCAGAGGCAGCCTTGGCCTTCCTCTTAACCCTTCCTGCGCCCAAGCTCTTGAAGAATCAATTCGTGTCGTTGGTCTCTCTCATCCTCCAACCTGCCCTCTTTATCGTTCCATTCGCCGGCTTTCAGCTCCTTGGTTTGTTTCTTCTTCTTATTTGATTTGATTCGATTTGATTCCTAGGGCATACCATACCATAGCAACAATCTAGCATCGGATTTTCCATTTGATCTTTTGTACCTGTTTGGGTAATGGATTACCAATTGATCTTTGACTTGGCTCTTTCTTACTTTCTCTTTTCTTTTAAATTCTGTGTAGATATATATTGGAAGAATGAGCACCGCCTGTCCTGCACCTCTGAGATCTGCACCGCTGCTGAGCGTGACCGCTATGAGAAATCCGTCAGTTTCTAACTACTACTCTCTCTCTCTCTCTCTCGTTTTAATTTCTCATGTGATTCTAATCTTTAATCAAGTTGATGATGCCTGCAACTCTTCAGCATGCTAAAATGAATTTATCAAAAATGAAATCATATAACAAAAGGAAAATTACATTTTGAGCACCCACTGATGTCTCCAATTCCCATTCACTATACTGTTTAACAAATTTATTATAGAATAACAGCATTACAAATTCATATTTATTTTTCTCAAAATCATAATGCTCAATGACACACATACCTGTTTCTTAATTTTGTCCTCTAAAATTCTTACATACTCGGCATTGGATTGTCTCGTTTCTTCGACTTTTCTTTAGGATGGTATCTTGAATCTTGAAGTGTGTCTCATAATTATTTCTGTCTTTATGTATTGAAAATTTTCTGCTCTTTATTATCTTTAAGACTTTCTTTGTTTTTGGGTATTTGCGGATGAGGGTGAAACAAGGATTTGTGCTTGTGGAAATATTCTGGTAGGATATCAATTGAGTGTATTTGGAAGATACTCTCTACTTTTGCACTGTACATTTCATGAAAAACATGGTATGTGGTTCAGTTCTTATATGCTGCAAGTTGCAGCATATGTAGCTGTGGGATGTCTAATGATTGCACAATGAGCCCTCTGCCAATCAAGAGAAATGGAAGATTCAAGTTCTATCTACATATATATACACTTTAAATTCTATTATTCTTGACACCTTTGTTGCGGAAAATATGTCATGCAGATCTACAAGGCTCAAAGGAATGTAATTCTTTGCGCTTCAGCATGTCTGCTTTACTGGTATGTTGGCTAGAGATCATCAAATGACCTCATCTTTTTGTTTTATTTCTTTAAAAGTTTAAACAAATAAAAAACTTGAAGGTCTTTACTATATTTCTTGTCATTTGATAGTAGTCTACAAATGTTGGGCGCAGGTGTCTTATTCGCATCTGCAAATATTACAAGGACATTCAGAAATTGGAAGAAGTGGAGAAGAGGTACAAGGAGGAGTAGCTTTTCCCAGATAGGCTCTTGTTTGGGAGTAGAAACAACCGAGTTCATATTTTTTTTTTCGTCATAAATGGGAAACCGATGTGACTTTTAGTAATATTGTAGTGTCTTCACTTTGTGTGGTTAATTTGTTAGTCATCATCTAGTATGTGTTTCTGGCACGTTTTTCTCGTAGCAAGCTCAAATATACTTTTTGTTGTCAACTATATATGAAAAGTATGACAATTATTATTACTGGTTAGAGATTTGGCCATGGCCGGTCTATTTATCCTTGTTGGAATATATGAATTCCAATCTCCCTTGATTTGTTGAGAATCAAGGATGGTTGCGTGCCATGAATTCCAAGCGTGAGTTGAGATACTTATCCCAGCCTAGAATGTGCGAGCCTTTACATGGTCTTCATTTCATTGGCGTATGTTTTGCTTCAAGTTCTGTTTATACCTGATCTTAGATTCACAGTCATACGTACCAAAGAATTCAATTGTTGAAATGAGGTCTTCCATTGCGATAGTCTTGAGTGACCGAGTCTATATCCAAATTGGGAATTTAGTCATCTGTTTACGTACGTATGGCTCAGCTTTTCAAATTTTCCAGTATTGGGAATGATTTGGTATGAATTGCAGCGCAAACTTGGTTTCACATACGCCTGCATTGACCACCCAACCCATCTCCATCTGAACACCCCATGGAGGGGGTAGTAAGATTTGATCCACATTGACCCATCATTCACACGCTTTCATTTCACGACAATTGCCCTTCAAATTTCTCAAGAATAATAATGCATTAATTCAGGCTTGATAATCAAAGCGCACATCTGATTCTCGAACAAAAGCATCATCAAGTCAAGGATAAGGCAAATTTCTCAAGAGGATATTCGTATGGGTTTAAGAATAAATTAAATAATGAATCGAGTCAAGAACTAAGCACACATTTTCTTTCTTTCTCGAATTATAGGGTTTTCTTTAACATTTTGGGAAGACGTAAGGGATTAAATAAATAAAAAATTAGTCTCAATAATCGAATTTTGCCAAGTGAGATCATGCCTCCAAACAATGGAACTAACCCAAGTATTGGGCTTGTATTATATAAGCAGAATAAGACTGCTCTCCTACTGTTTTCCCACTTCCCACATGGAGGAGGGGCTAACTAGTTGAAAAGATTGAAAACGAAAGCACATGCTAAATGTGCAATACTTTTGACAGCTTGTCGTTTGTTTTTGGGTTTTGGTAGGTAGCATACAAGCATCTATGAAGTAGCCATGTCCTTATTAGACGTATAAGTTTGGGACGTTTTAGTTAGTTTTTGAAGAGGTGCATAAAATGAGCTCGAGTCGGTACCAACAAGTTGACAGTCCCTCCTGAGTCCTAACCAAAAGGATAAGGATGTGTGTTGAATGTTGATTATCATTGCATGATGCTTGTGGGATTTTATTTTCTAAAGCATGTTTGGAATCGAACACACATCAATCCCATCCATCACTGCTTGATGACTTGGATTGATATAAGCTATAAAAATGTCAAGGGCCAAGCCAACTTGTTTGACATCTCAAGCAAACAAGCATTCATATCAAAATACCATTTAAGCTTTACCTACACACACATTGAAATCTCTTTATTCAAACAGACAGACTGAAACATGTGACATCATGTGAAAAGAATGGAATGGAATGGAACCTCTGTTTTCACTTCCCTCTATTCATCTTGCAGTACTGTATTATATTACAAGTAACAACTTCAACTTTGGAGAACAAATTAATTGATGAAATGAAAATTTAAGAATTATCAGAAAGAAAAGAATTCATAAATGTTTTCTCTGGACGAAGATCAAAATGACCTTCTAATGTTCTTGAAATCTACAGACTCAATGCATTCCAACCCAGCTCTGTAAGGATTCAGGAGTTTCAAAAGCTCAGTTGTCTTCTCCTTTGTGTTGTCATCACCACAACGAACCTGTAAAACTAACAGGAGCTTCTGAAATGTACCAACTTGAAGGGCCTCAACAAGAACTCTTTCTTCTTGACTGCTTGCACACTTGCACAGCTTCCAAATAGCAGAAATTGAATACTCAGTCGCCATTTCTGATACCCTCAAAATCTTCTTGACCAAGACAGGTATAGTGAGAGCATTAGCATAGGCCTTTTCCCTCCCATCTTGGAAATCGCAAAGACTATCCAAAACACCCAAAGCCCTCTCACATATGCCCCTTTCAGAGTCGACAATAATTTCCAACAATATGGAAACTAAACCCATCTCCAGAAATGCTGATTTGATCTTCTCACTGGATTTAGAAGAAGAAGAAGAAGATGATGATGATGAAACCAAGTAGAAGACCACCATCAGCGAAGCCTTGGTAATCGTCGGAGAAATTTTCTCTCTGATGAAGTCGAAAAGTACCTCATTCACTCCACCAATCTCCGCCAACGCATCAACATGTTTATTCCGGTCATGGCAAGCAAGAAGCTCTTTCAATGCTAAAATAGCATTTTGCTTTACTGAAAGATCATCACTCATCTTGAGAAACCAAACCATGCCATGTAACGAAGCCTGAGACCCCAAGTATTTGTGGGCTTCCTCATCGAAAGCTGGAAGCATCCAACTCAGCGCAGACAATATCTCTTCACAAACGGTGGCATTTCTCTTTATGCAATCAGTTGCAAAAGAATCGAAGGCAGCAGCTAGAACAGAGGCCGTCCCGTTCTCCAAGATGCACCGCTTGTTGCGTTCGCTCTCAGCTCCCCACTTCTTGATTTTGTGCACACATTCTAAGCAGCCATGTTGATCCAAACGTCTAGCAGAGGCTCCGATGCTGAAAAGAATCTCAGAGACCTCCATTGGCAAGACAGGAATTCTGGGTGTTGGGACACGTTCGATGCCATAGTGCTTGTTTTGAGTGCACCACTCTTGAATCATTCTTCTGAGACTGTGGTTGGGAATCTGATCAAAGTTTCTCAGCACCTGATTTGTTACCGGGCAAGTGAAATTCCCGGCTTCGAGCCACGTGTCAATACTTTGTCGATCGTAGGTTATTCCGGATGACAATGTAACCGGATCCTTCATCAAGTCCAGCGATATTGGGCACAGGAAATGGTTTGGGATGAGGGCTTCCATGTCGAGGTCCCGGGGCTGCTTTTTCGTGGCGCCGTGGCCTGTTCTTCTTCTTCTCCACCCTAAAACCATTGCTTGCTGATTAGCTAGCACAGATTAAGTTGATCAGAAAAGCAGTGAGAGAAGTTGATTATTCTGTTTTTGTTGGTGGTGTTTTTTGTTTGTGAAAAAATAGGAGGGGAGGTGATGGGGTTTATATACTAATAATACTATATGTTGTTCCGGCTACAACTTTTCAGGTTTTCATACACGCGGTGTTCAAAGATGAGACCATTTTGCATATGGAGAGAAATGGGAAAGAATTGAATAAGTAAACAAAATTCAAGCAGGGGTTTTTAGTAATAGTACAATTTGAATGTTGACCGTTGAAGCTTTGAAAGTTTTAAAATTAACCGTCAAAAGCGGGGAAGTGGTAAAAGTAAGCTCTTCCTTCATGGGCCTCAAATGTACCGAGTGAACGAATTATGTTTTTAAATTATGATGAGCTGGTTTAAGTATGGGGTTATGTATGAGCATGAGGTTTTGAAGCGTTGACCGAGATTCTTTTCGTCTTCTTCTTCGTTTTTTTTTTAATTAATCTGAAATTCTGAATCAGATATGACGAACAAGACCGATATCCCAGCTGTTACATTTTTTTCATTTTTTCTTGCAAGTCTTTTTTTAAAAATTTATTTATGCGAAAACGGAAAATTACTAGCGAAGCAAAAACCACAGAAGCACGCAGGCCCAAACACATCAAAGTAAAAGGAAGAGAACATCAATTTTTTCTCGCAAGTCTTCATTGGTGTTTTTTTAATTTATTTTTTTTCTTCGTAGTATGTAGTAGGAGAAAAGGAAAAACAAAAAAGTCAGTCACCTCAACTTTGTAAGAACGAGTCCTAGGCTCCACCTTATCAGACTCTATCAGCTGCAAATGGTTTGACTTTGAAGGAGTCATTGCCCAAAATTCCATCCACCACATGCAAATTGCAATACAAACTCCAATGACATTCATTTGGCAAGCAAGTTTAAGTACACGCCCCATTAAAACCCAGGAGGATAATTTGAATAAATCAAACATTCTAACCTAAAAACCTTACAGGAGTTACTTTTTATTCATGTTTGAATGCTGTACAGACAAAAACTCCTGTCGAAATGAGCTTATTTTACAAATCAATTTTTAATCATGTACCTAATCAGAAAAGATTGTCAACCAAGCTTGAAAACAAATCCAGCCCAAGTCGAAAACAAATCCATCCTAAGAACAAAAGAAAGAAAGAAAAGAAAGAATTGCAGCCTAACTGACTTCACTACCCATCCTTCCATCAGTTAATCAAATGGAAGCACAAGGCCTTCAACCTTTCACTTCACAACTTGCCAGAGCAAAGTAGAATATTGGGTTTATTCTTGCCTGACATAAGGAGAAGAACTCATCTCCGTGCTGTAAAATGAGTCATCCCCATTTATAGCAAAGAAATTATCATTCTTTTCATCATCCCACTTAAGGATCTCCCTTATGTACTTGAATGCCTCATCAACTGAGGTACCCTCTCGAGCTCGGGTCTGCGCCACAAACAACTTCTCACCAGTTATGGATGAATACAGCTCTTTGAATTTCACCGCCACATAATAATATGCTTGTTGTGCCAGAGACTGCATATTACCGTGGGGCTTAACAGGGCTGAAGTCCTTCAACCACTCACAGACAGACAAAGGAACCAGGTTTATCTTGGCTTCAAAGGCATCATACTTGTTCAGCAAGAGCACAAACGGAGTGTTCCTGAAACACGGATGCCTCACCAAACTCTCAAACAAATCTCTGCTTGCCAGCATTTTATTACAAAGAAGACCATTACCCTGGGCCCACATTTGATCATAGTCACTCAATGCGACACAAAATATCACCGCCCTCACATCTTCAAACATTTCCAGCCATTTGCAACCATCATTCAGTCCTTTGGAATTAATGCGAATGAGTTGATACCTGAGACAAGACTCAACCTAGTGAGCAACAGATTTATGGTTTTCATCGGAAGCAACAAAAAAGAAGAAGCAGAAACACAAGATAGAAAGCACTCGATTGAAAGTGAAAGGATGAAGGTTTTACTTGGTCAAGGGAGGAGGGCATTCATAGTTTTCATTGTATAGCTCAG